TCCGTGAGCACCGTGCTGACCTCCAAATACCGTTAAGCTGGAGCCTCGGTGGCCATGCCCCTTGCCCCTTGGTTCTCGGGCCAGGCCCTCCTTCCCTCCCTGCACCTGCAGCCCCTGGTCTTTGAATAAAGTCTGAGTGGGCGGCAGCCTGTGTGTGCCTGGGTTTCTTCTCTCAGCAAAGGTTCTGGGATGGGCGTGGACACCGTCTGGGACACACATGCCTAGGACCTCTCTGCATCCGGAATGGGCAGGAAAGGGCAGGGGCAGGAGGTGGGCAGAGAAGGAGGGAAGCTGAGCCAACCCGAAGTACATGGGAGATAAACTGGAAAACCGCTGGGCCCTAGAGAGTTTTGAAGATACGTTTCCTCTTTCCTGAGTTTTATCCGCAGGCCTTTCAGGTTCCACGTAGGTTTGCTGAAATAATGAATGTATCCATCTTTCCGTTTCAGGGCACTCTTGTGCCAGGAACTGGCTGGCTTTCTCCCTGCGACCCCGCTAGTCTCCCAGGGGTCCTCCCAGATATGGGTGGTGGGGAGGTGAGGGAATCCCACTCCAGCGCGGCTGCACTGATCTCCCATCGTCCCCACCAGTCTCTGCAGAACCTCCCAGATACAGGCACAGTCCAGATAAAATCAGGGGGGAGGGGTGCAACTGCGGACCCCAGACACTTCCATGGGGCTTCCCCTTTCACCCCCAGGCCGCCCCAGGGTGCTCACACTCCAGACACATGCCCTAGGGCTGTCAAGGTCAGGAGGTTTTCTCTGGGTCCAGCTCAGCACCCACTCAGCTCCCCTGAGGCTGGGGAGCCTGTCCCATTGCGACCGTGGAGAGGAGAGAGGGGAGTCCGGGCCACAGAGGCCTGGCTAGAAGATCCCCTCCTCCCTGCCTGTGTTTTCTCCCTGCTGAGCAGCCTCCCAGTGCCTGAGGTATCAGGGGAAGGACTTCGGGTTCCCTGACCCGGCAGCCAGCAAGCCCTGGCCCCCGACAGATCACAGCACCTCTTCCTCCCTGAGCCTGTGAATCGCCATTGGTAAACACTATGGCAGGCCCTTTTCCTCCGTTTGCGATGCCCTTCCCACAGCCCTTCCCACAGTACGAACTGCCAGGAAAAGGGTGTCTTACTTATTTCATCAGGAAGAATGGAGGTCTGACCTAAAGGTGGAAACATATCAAATGCACATCAGTGGGCTGGTTGGAGTGCAGAGGTGTTTACAATTAATTGATCAGAACCAGTTACAAATTTACTGTTTCCTTCTCTACTCCTCCTGCTTCAGCTGACTAAGCCTAAGAAAAAGTTATAAAAATTGGCTGGGTGGGGTGCCTCATGCCTGTAATTGCAGCACTTTAGGAGGCCAAGGCAGGCGGCTCACCTGAGGTCAGGGGTTGGAGAGCAGCCTAGCCAACATGGGGAAAGCCTGTCTCTACCAAAACACAAAAATTAGCTGGGCGTCGTGGCGGGCGCCTGTAATCCCAGCTACTCCGATGCTGAGGCAGGAGAATCACTTGAACCGGGGAGGCGGGGGTTGCAGTGAGCCGAGATCACGCCACTGCACTCCAGCCCGGGCGACAGAGTGAGATTCCATCTCCAAAAATAATAATAATTATATATATATAATTATTACATATTTCTCTAACACATAGAAGCACGCTCCACTATGCCCGGCTATTTTAAATTTTTTTTTGTAAATATGCGGCCTCCCTTTGTTGCCCAGGCTGGTAAATACTATTTTCCATATGGTGAACAGCTAAAACGCGGGGCCTTGGATTTGGGGCGATTCAGAGGGCCCCGGTGGGCGCTGACGGAGACTGAGCGCACGGACCCGGGACAAGGCCCCTGGACCCCGAGGCGGCGAGGCTGCGGCGCGGCGCCCCCTGGAGGCCGCGGGACCCCTTGCCGGTCGGCGCAGGCGCGGCGGGTTCGGGCGCGGGCATGGCGCTGTGCGCGGAGGACCGGGCGCTGGTGCGCGCCCTGTGGAGGAAGCTGGGCAGCAACGTCGGCGTCTACACGACAGAGGCCCTGGAGAGGTGCGGCGAGGTTGGGCGCCCCCGCCCCCGGGGCCCTTCCTCCCCAGGCTCCCCGGACGCGCCTCACGCCCGCTCCTCTCGTAGGACCTTCCTGGCCTTCCCCGCCACGAAGACCTACTTCTCTCACCTGGACCTGAGCCCCGGCTCCGCCCAGGTCAGAGCCCACGGCCAGAAGGTGGCGGACGCGCTGAGCCTCGCGGTGGAGCGCCTGGACGACCTGCCCCGCGCGCTGTCCGCGCTGAGCCACCTGCACGCGCGCCAGCTGCGAGTGGACCCAGCCAGCTTCCAGGTGAGCGGCGGCCTCGCTCGGCGCCTGTCCCCGCGAGGGCCCCAGCGGGGTAGACGCGGGTGGCGTGCGGGGCGGGTGCGGGCGACTGAGCCTCGCGCGCCCGCTGCAGCTCCTCGGCCACTGCCTGCTGGTCACCCTCGCCCGGCATTACCCCGGAGACTTCAGCCCCGCGCTGCAGGCGTCGCTGGACAAGTTCCTGAGCCACGTGATCTCGGCGCTGGCTTCCGAGTACCAGTGAACTACGGGTGGGTGTCCGCGGGACCCCCAGGCGACCCTCCCCGTGTTTGAGTAAAGCCCCCCAAACCTCAGTCTTCCTGCCGTGCTCTCTCTCGAGGGCTGGACGCCGTTGGGGGAAAGACGCCGTCCCTCCCCAAGGAAAGACAGGGGCCCGGGAGAGGCCGGGGGCGCACTCTGTGTCCAGATCCAGGCGCGCCCCGTCCCACCCCCGACAGCTTTGGGGCCTCCGCCACCGGGGCACTGACCTGGGTACGGCCTGACCCTCCCGAATGGGGTGGCAGGTGGGCGCCGCGGGCCGCGAGGGCGTCCTCCCCACTCGGGGCCAAGTACGTGGCCCGGGCCCACCGCGAGAACTCCGCACCTGCAGCTCAGCGCGCGCGGGCGGCGTCGGGGCCCGGGGCAGCCGCGCAGCGGGTTAGGGAACAGCGCCCTCTCCCGGCGCGGGCCGGCACCTGCGCAGCGCACAGCCCGTTGGCGCCGCGGGACCGGGAACGGCGGGGGCAGCTTGTGGTGAAGTCCTTTTACTGCCAGCGCCTGGGCCTGGGCCTGGGCCTCGGGGAGGAGGGGGCACCAACCCCAGTACCTAGTCACATAGCCGGCGAGGTGGACCGGGGGCCGGCCCACAGCCCTGCCTCCGCCCACACTGCTACGGGGAGGGAAGCTAGGCCTTCTTTGTTCTGTTTGTCCCGTAAAACCGATCGTGGCCATGGCAGAACTTCGGAAAACAACGCTCGCTGCACCTTCCCGTGTATCGCGGGCCAGGAACGCGTGCAGCACATTCTTCAGTTCCCACGTGACACGCGGCAAACTGTGTCATGTGTATGCAAGCACAGGCCATGGCTGTCAGATCCAAGAGCACGTGTGTGACAGACATGCCACGCCCACACACAGCCGTCACATTTTAACGCGCAACCTTTCCAGGCCTCGTAGGCACTAGAAGTGCATCTGAAGATGCTTCTCTTCAGAAACGGTACCTCCAAGGTGACACTAAGGGAAAGTTGACAGGCTGGGCGAGCTGGCTCACACCTGTAATCCCAGCACTCCGGGAGGCCGAGGGGAGTTCACTTGAGGCCAGGAGTTCTAGACCAGCCTGGGCAACATGGTGAAACCCTGTCTCTACTAAAAATACAAAAATTTGCTGGGTATGGTGGCCTGTGCCTGCAATCCCAGCTACTCAGGAGGCTGAGGTTCATGGATCACTTGAACCTAGGAAGCAGAGGTTGCAGCCAAGATAAAGCCGTTGCACTCCAGCCTGGGCAACAGAGCAACACCCTGTCTCAAAAAAAAAAAAGTAAACAGTGCACAGGTTGGGCTACATAAGCAAGAAAAAAAAAAGCCCTCAGGATAGGAGTGATGGTTAATTCCACGTGTCAATTTGACTGGTCTAAGGGATACCCAGATGTATGGCCAGGTGTGTCTGTGAGGGTGTTTCTGGAAGAACTGGCATTTGGATGGGTGGGCTGTGTCAAGAAGATGGCCAACAAGTGTGATGGGTGTCACAAAAGAGGAAGGGGAAGGGAGGGTGAAGTTGCTCTCTCTGCTTGAGTGGGGGCACCATCATCTCCTGCCATTGGGAGACTGCTGCTCCTGGTTCTGGGGCCTTCCAGCTTGGACCAGGACTTAGACCATCTGCCCCCATAAAGGTTCTCTCTACCATATAAAAAAGATCTCCGGGGTAGACACAGTGGCTCACGCCTGTAATCCCGGCACTTTGGGAGGCCAAGGCAGGCAAATCACCTGAGGTCAGGAGTTTGAGACCAGCCTGGCCAACATGATAAAACCCCGTCTCTACGAAAAATACAAAAATTTGCTGGTGTGATGGTAGGTGTCTGTAATCCCAGCTATTCGGCAGGAGAATCACTTAAAACAGGAGACGGAGGTTACAGTGAGTTGAGATCCAGCCACTGAACTCCTGCCTGGGCAACAGAGAGAGACTCCATCTCAAAAAAAAAAAAAAA